GTCGAGTCATGTGTCTGCTTTTTGATGAGGGTGAATCAGGTTTCCAAGAGGCTGCTCCTTGTAGTTTCTGAGACTTTCTAGCCCTGTTCTTCTTAACAGAAGCCTACTACCCTCTGGGGTCACCTGTGGCTCTGACTTTTGAACACAATAGTGTAAAGCTTCACCCTTTGTACAGCTTTCTATCTTTATAGGCTTGCGTGGAAACAGCATCTTAGAAAGAAATTTAGCAGGGAGCATTTTGCCATGTGCGGGATATTTTGGAGCCGGGGTGATTGAAACAATGAACACTCACACACACACAAACATCATGCAGCTGCTATGGTTTGGATAGAAAATGTCTTCCCCCAAAGGCTCATGTGCTTAGAATTGGGGCTTTTGGAAGATGATTAGATTACGGGGTGCTGACTTCATCAGTGTATTACTCCATTGATAAATTCATAGCTGAATATGCTGTTAGGAGGTGGGGCTAGTTGGAAGAAGTAGGTCACTGGAGGTGTCTGTCTTAGTTCCTTTTCTCATTCCTGAGACAAAATACCTGACACCCACAAGTTGAGGAAGGAAAGATTTGTTTCAGCTCACAGTTTGTAGAAGTTTCAGTCCATAGTCGGCTGGATCCAAAGCAGGATGGCATGGCAGAAAGGATCACAGAGGAGAAACAGTCCATAGCAGAGCAGGCAGGAGGCAGCAAGCAGCAGGCAGCAGAAGCAGCAGCAACAGGGAAGCAGGCCTCCCTTTCCCTATGATTCCATCCAGGCTACAAGTCTGTTGGGTGGTACCACCCACACCCAGGGTGGGCCTTCTCATTATCCATACCCAAACTATGCTAACCCAATCAGTGGACTAACTTAGTACCATACACCTTTAATCCCAGCATCACACAACCTAGATCCAACCAGCTCTGAAAAGCCCCACCTATGAGTGGATGAGCATTTTGGGGGACATGAGGATTCAAGCCATGACAGTATCACCCAGAAAGATGGATTCTCGTCCCTACTCCTTCCTTTCTCTCTAGCTCTTCCTGCTCTCACTGCTTCCTGGCTTCCACAAGGGAAGCAGCTTTCCTCCTCCAAGCCTTCTGCAAGATGTTTCTGCCTTAGAGCCAGCTGACCATGGATTGACTCCTCTGAAACTGTGAGCCAAAGTAAACCTTCCTCTTTTAAGCAGTGTGTGTCAGATATTTGGTCACAGCAATAAGAAGCTGACTAATACAGCAACTATAACTTTGTTGCTTTTCCCTCTGGGACAATTTAGTGGGCAGGGAGGGCAGGGCTGGATGCAGGGATAGATTTGCCAACTATGGAAACATACAGCCATGGACAATTTACCAGACCGCTCTGAAACCAAGCTTTCCTATTTATTTAAAGGGGAGCAGGCCCAACGTCATGAGCATCTGGTGTGTGCTACAGCATGGAGCCTCGTGCTCAGAGGTGCTTCTGGGTTTAATGCTATCCAGTTGCTACCTTGAAATTTTCAGTCACTTTTGAACATGAGTCTCTGCATTTTCATTTAGCTCTGAGCTGGGCCAGTGTTGTAGCCAGGCCTGCCCCTGACTCTGTTCCTGCCCAGCTGAGTGTGTGGGTTGAGGCATTGCTTGCCACATGGCACTTAGGTACTAAGCGGGATCGTGCACGTCTGCACAGCCAACCCAGGGTGGAAGTCATGCTCACGTCTGGCAGATCCACACGGATGCTACTCGCCCTTAGCCACTTGGCAGCCATCTTGGTTACTGGAGTGACTGCCTCAGTGTCACAGTGCTTGCCTTCAAGTGCCCCTTATTTTACTTAGTGGTGGCCCCAAAGCACAACAGTAATGGTGATAATGATTCAGATGTGCAAAAGAGAAGCTGCAAAGTGCCTCCTTCAAGTGACAAGGAAAAGTTTTTACTTACTGAAGACAAAAGTATGATCAGTTTGCTGAGATCTAGAGTAAGAACTAACCATCCACCCAAGAAATTATAAAGATGAAAAAAGTTCATTCCCGCTTTGTTATCGCACCTTAAACTGAAGCTTACAGCCACGTGTGTGATAAGGGCTTCCTTAAGATGGCAAAGGCATTACAGCTGGGTGTGCTTTGGAGAAAAACGGCACATACATGCTTTGGGTACCCACTGCAGGTCTTGGGACAGATCTCCTCAGACACAAGGAGCATCTATATTTGTTCATATTAGGGGAAAGTATCACCCAAATTGCTTACTAGTTAAAAAAGATCAACTTCTTAAAATGGGCAAACTTTTGTAATATTGCAACTTCTAGCTCGTGTATTTTGGAAAGCTCAAAGCAATGAAGGTCTTAGTCACTTTCCCTGTTGCTGCGACACAATTCCCGACACCGAAATGTAAAGGGAGAGAGGTTTTTAGAGGATTCAGTCCCAGGGTGATAATAGGAGCTCCTGTCCCAGGCCCACAGCCACCGCCTCCTCCGCAGGCCCCAGCTCCTAACCGCCGTCCGGCTGCTGACTCCACAAGTGGATAAGCGGCCCGCAGCCCTTGGGGGGCGCTCTAGAGCTCACCACAACAAGGACGGGTTTGTGACCTTCCCTCTGGTCTCTCAGCGCTTGGGGCCGAGGTAGAGCCCGCCACCCCTCACTTCCTCCCCTCCTTCATGCCTCCCCTCTGTAATTACAGCCCTTCAGTTCAGATCATTTCCACCAGAACTTGCATGCTTGGTGTCCATTTCCCCATAATAGTAAAAAGTCAGACAGCAGTAATGATGCTGAAATTGCTTCTTTGTTTATCTAATTCCTCCCAGCTAGTATTTACTAAGCATTTACCACATATAGCTCTTTACTGGTGCAGCCCTTCCCTCCTGGGGGCTGCAGTGAGTCAATCGATAAGAATAATGATGATGATAATGCAAAGTGGAAATTAAAAGAAGCCATGGGTTGCTCAGGCAGCGAGGAGAGGAAGACCCTGCCTGGAGGAGGGAACCCTGAAGACAGGCAGGCACCGGAAGAGGCTGCTGCGGCAGGAGCAGCAGTGTGGAGCGGAGCGCTCTGCTTCAGAACCAGGGCTTCCTCAGGTGTCGCGTGTGTTCAGAGGCGGGTCTTTCAGAAAGGGGCTGGGTGGAGGGCACACACACCCAGCGGATCCTTGCACTCATGAGCTCCTGCTGAATGTGCTGTAGGGAGGTGGCCCGGGTGCAGGCAGTGGGCTGCGCCCTGGAGAGGGACGTGGAAGCATGTGTTCGCAGGCAACGCGCCCCTGTAGCCCCTGCACTCTGGGAGAGGTGGCGGGAGGACCTCGAGGGCAAGCCTGCTCTGAGCTGCTCAGCAACGCGTGAGGCCCTGCCCCGAAACAAAAATACAAACGAACAGCGCTTCGATTCTCAGTACCCCTCCTTCTCCCACATGCACACAAGAGAGGTCTTCATTATGTCTAGGACTGTTACTGTTTTTAATTAATTAATTAATTAATTTGGTTCCGGGGATTGAACTCCGGATCTTGTGCTTGCGAGGCAGGTGCTGGAACCACTGAGCTAAATCCCCAGCCCCTTTATTTTATTAAATGTAGCAGTTCTTATTAAGGGCATTGTTTTTCAAACACACATCTATTTATGAAAGAGGATTTTGTGTATTTACCGATTTCTCTTAGGCATAGAGACCAAGGGTAATCAAGGATATTTGATTTAATTGATAGGCATAAGGAAGTGGGTGTAAATGGCATAGCATAGAAAGAGAAGCTAAGTTAAATTGCCATACTGGGGTCACTGCTGAGGGAATACATAATCCAAACAGCTAGCAATAAAGTCCTTCCAGCTCACAAGGCAGAAGCCAGCTTTGTTTGTATACAGGGCCAGCTGGATGGCACACACCAATCAAGAAAGGCAGGCAGACTTCTCATTAGTTTCCAGAGACTTCTGTGGCTGTGATTGGCATTTGTCTCTGGAGCAAGTTGATGCTGGCGAGGACAGAGCTCAGGGAGCGGGGGTCTGAGGGCAGAGTTTGTGCACCCTCCCTCGTGCCTGGCTTAGAGAGGGGACAGTGCAAAACAAAACCTGGGGTGAATGAATTCGGAGAAGGTGGCGGGCTCTCTGATTTGCTCTTGTAGTTCCCCGGGGATGTTAATTTGCTAAGGAGCCTGAGATTCCCTGTAGCAAAAAAGAGCTGCTAAGGTATTTACAAAGTAGTTAACTTAAATCAGACTTTCAATGATCCATTAATCAAGTTCAGTTTTGTCAACTCTCTGTCCTCTCTATGAGAAAGTCCAGAAATTGACAGTGTTTAGAAATTTTTTGGCAACCCGACTTCTATGCCCCAGCATCTGTGTGACATGTAAAGACTCAACTCAGTGAGTAGATGTGGACCAGCTCTGCTGCTCTGACTCATGCAGAGTTACCTAGGTGCAAGCTGCGGACCAGTTAGTTATGTGCATGGGACCATTTCATAATGTGTGATCTTTAAGTTGGTTGCTGGTTAGTCAACAACAGCATAATTTATAGATCTGAGAAAATAGCATGTATTTCATAACACCCCCCCAAACACGCAGGCATACATACACCACACACACACACCCCTAAGTTTTTGAGGTACTGGGCATTGAACCTAGGGATCTCTCTCTCTCTCATATTGAACTACATCTCCAGGCCCTTTGTCCCCTTTTTAATTTTTTTGAATCAGGATCTTGTTAAGTTGCCCAGGCTTGACTTGGAACGTGTGATACTCCTGCCTCAGTCTCCCAGAATTCCAGGATTATAGGCATGTGCCATCATATCTAGCTGAATTTTATAATAATTTTAATTTTACTTATTTTAATTTTTTTGAGGTTTTATCATGCCAGCACCTCAGGCATGCTAGGCAAGTGCTACTAAGCTACTTCCTCAGTCCAATAATTTTAATTTTAAATCAAACAAGTGTTAATATTAATTAGCTAAAACAACCAGGTGAAACTTGTATTATTTGTAATTAATCCTAATTTGCTGATAGTGAAATAAGTTTTTTTGGATCAATTTTTTTCCAGTAAAAACTAAGTGATTGTAAAGGAAATGACTCTGGAGAAATGAAGATTAAAAGAGTTTGTCATTATTTTACTTAGAAATACTATTTTTCATGAATTTAATTTGGTTTTATAGCAGAATTAAATCTGAATTACATCTCAATAAAGCTTTTACTGGAGAAAATTTAAAAATCAGCTCTGTGATCTCCATATACTGAACAAGATGAGACTTTAAATGCACTTCAGACTCTTGCCCCATCTTCTCCCAGGGTTTCTCCAAGGGATAGTCCTCCCAGGGTTTCCTGCTGGCCTTGACATAGAGCATACTTTCCATCAGCTTCCCAGATCTGCAAAGGGAAAAACCAGATGTTTAACTCAGGGCGGCTGGATTTCAAGTCTAGGCCATATACCCAATGAGGCCCACATTCAAGACATTAAATTGGTACTAGAGAAGTGGGGTCATTGCTGTGACTATAACTGATAATGTGGTTCAGAATAAACTAGTTTGGAACTGGTTTGCAGGTAGAGCTTAGAATGGTTTGAAGATGTGCGCTAGAGAAGCCCTAGATTGCTATAAGCAGAGCTTGAGGAATGATATTAACTGGATCTCAGAAGACCAGAATACCAAGTGGAGTATTGTCAGTAAAGGCCAGGAGTGCAAAATTGTAAATTTTGTTTTAGAGAAGAATGTCCCTGCATCCCCTGCTTGAGAAACAACCATCTAAGGATTGGTTCCCTGGGATTCCTTTCATTATGCTTATACGTCCAGGTACTCAGAGGCCACTGAAACCATGACCCAAGGGGTCCTGGCTACTGCTTGAGCTGCAACAGACCTTGGCAGCCACCATGAAAGAATTGTGCGATTTTAGAGGCTTCCACTCGGATATCAGAGGAAGGCCTGAGAGGCCAGGCAATGTGTCCCTGAGGAGTGAGTGCATGAAGCTGTGTGAATGAAGCCAAAGATGCAGTGGAGACCCCAGGAAGTTGGAGATACCAGACACACAGAAAGTCTGCCAAGGAAAGCTGCAGGCCATGAGCAGAGCCAGCTCAAGAGAGGGGAGAGAAGTCTCGTGGGCTGCAACTGAGGAGGCTGTAGGGGTGGAGCCACCCAAGCCCTTTGGAATTCACATCTCACCACTGTGTGGCCTGGATGTTAGATAGAGCTACCTGCAACCTAACGTTTGTCCTACTGGGTTTTGGTCCTGCTCTGGTCCCACTCTTTTCTATCTCTGTTCCTCTGTCTTGGAAAGAATCATTTACACAGTGCACCTTGGGATGATATAACTTGCTTTTAGATTGTCACACGGACTCACAGATAAGAGTTTACCTAGAGTTCCAGAAGAGATTTTAGATTTGGACTCTTGAGTCATGTTGCAAGCATTGAGAGTTTGGGGAAGGGATTATTTCACTTTCAGTGGTATGCAGGATTATTGTGTCATGTTACATAGAATTATGAACTTGTGGTTATCTTTCTTTGGACATAGAGTACAGTTGAAGGAGATATGTTTGGGTGTCAGGAGAGAAGGGTGGGATATGATGGTTAATCTCCGTTGCCAACTTGTTTGCTTGGGAGTCACCTGAGGGTTTAGCAAAGCACACGGGATACCTCTGGATAGGTCAGAGGGGCTCAACCTTGGGGTCTATGTATGGTCCCTGGCCTCTTCCTCTGGCTTTGCTCTGTCTGATACGCTCTTCTGCCATGAGGTTTCTGCCTTGAAGCCCGCTACACGTGGACTGAAACCTCTGAAATTGTGAGCCAAAATAAAACTCCCTTTCTCTGAGTTGTGGGTGTTGCATACTTTGTCCCACCGATGGAAAAGCTGACCAATACACCTTGACATAGAGTTTCCTCCCCACCAGAGTTAGAGTTTGCAAAGGGAAAACCAGGGTGCCTAACTCAGGGCAGTCGGATTTGAAGTCAAAGCCGAACAGCCCGTGATGCCCACATGTTTCAAGACATTACTGGTGAGGGCATATAACAACAGTGAAATAAAGACTATCAATTTTAGGGTTATTCCTTAAATTCAGGATTCAGCAGGGCAAATGCCAAACTCCAACTCTGCAGTCATGCATACGTGTGTGAAAAAAAGGAAAAATAATATTGTTTACTAGTGGTTCTCAACAGAGCAGAGGGGAAATACAGACAGGAGGACACCTTATTGAAGAAATCAAATTCCCACTTGTCATTGCTTCCATTTGTTTTGTAGTAATGGTATTCATTTGGGCATCTCAGATAACACTGAATGAGGGCATGCAGTATTTCTGTTTGGCTCACTGCTCATGAGTTCAACTGCTTTCTACAGTAGCATTTAGTCAGGTACGTGTGTTTTTATAAATGTGTTAACATATGGCTGTCACCCTCTCCTGTTAGATAACACAGTTCCCTTGTACAAGGGTCATGTCTTTTTGTGTTCTGCTCAGAGGCCTTGAAAGCATAGTGTGTATTAATGACATGGGCCTGGTTTCTTCAGTTGTACACTCTGGCAATAGCCATGTCTCCCACTGTAAGGTGAGCGAATTGAGTAAGAATGTGGGTGATGGAGGGGGTGGAGATGATCGAAGTATGTTATGTGCACATACAAATCCTCCAAACCGAAACCCATTAACCTGGGTAATCAGTATGCACTAATTTAAAAAGATGTGGGAAAAGTAAGCCTGTGGAATAGAGGGAATAGTGTCTCGGTTTGGCCTGGAGGTTTGCTGTGGCATTTTTCACTGGGAAGGAAAAGAGTGAAGAGAAAGAGTGGAGGACATGGGTACGGGCTCCTGCTGGGTGACTCTGCCCTGAGAGGTTCAGCCACCCATGGCCGAGTGTGGCTTGGGAAGCACATAGGACACAGAGCACATGGTGGACCCGCTGCGGTCAGGTTGGTGAAGACTCGGGAGCAAGAAGGGCCAGGGTCCGTGTGGTTGGACGCTGCTCACGTTAGGAGTTTCTTGCCATTAAGAACATTTACCACAGCACTGCCAAGGTTAGTAACCAAAACACAAGACGCCCCAGTCAATGTGAATTCCAGATAAGCAGGCAATAGTTTTTAACATAAGTGCATCTCAGGGTCGCAAATGGGTGTCCTCCATTTCAGCTCCCACCTTTGATTGATATTTCGATATCAGATCTAGACAAAAGCACCAAGTTGAAAAGACCTTTAGAGTGAATTTACCCAGTGTGTTACTTTATTACTTTTTTTTTGGTACCAGGGTTCGAACTCGGGACCTTGCTCTTGCAAGGCAGGCGACAGAGCCACTGAGCTAAATCTCTGCCCCCCAAGTATGTTACTTTAGGTAAAACATACCGGGACTATTCTGTGCAGGATTACATCCTATCTTTCTTAAAGAACTCATCTGAGGCAGGCTGCTGCTGGTGCAGTTCTGAAGGCGGACACAAGAGGACCACAAGCTACTTTGTCTCAAACTAAAATTAAAAAGGAGTGGGGATGTAGCTCAGGGTGGAGGGCTTGCTGAGCATACATGAGGCCCCAGGTTCAGTCTTTAGTACCACACAAAACACACACCCGTGTGCACACACACAATGTGGGTCCACACACACTCACAAACCAAACCAAATTCATTCACATCAAGGCATCAAGGAAACTCTAGCGTCTCTCCTAAGACCTCTGTTTAGGCCCTGTGTGTGCATGTGCACGAGAGCATAGATGTGTGTTGTGCATGACATGCCAATGTGCATGCACCATAGTGCACACACACATATTTATGTGTGCACATGCATGGGGGTGTGCGTTCATGTGTCTGTGTGCATCATGTGGTGACAGAAAGGCATCCTCAGAGCTCCCAGCAGTGTGTCCTGTGGACCCGGATGAGGCCCTGGGCCGCTCCTGTCATCTGCAGCAGCAGCACCACTGGTGAGCCACGAGCCTAGAAGCGTGGGATACTTTGTAACCATTGGAGAGAATAAAAGATGATCTTAACAAAGACTTATTTATTCCAAACTCTAAAGTAAGAGCTCTTCAAAAAAATGAAAGGCAGTATGACAAAAATATGCCAAATAGTGCTCTTTAAGACAGAAGTATCCTGCTTTTTGTACCTTAGTATATAATTACAGAATGGAGATGTCAGTCATTATAAATGCATGTGATCATTTTTTATTTTGAGATGCACAAAACTTCTGAAATGAGAAGTGAAGAAAGCCCTCCTGAACAACAAATGGCAGGAGTCTGCTTATTAAGAAAATGTTTTACATGTAGGTGTTGCTGCTAGCAAATGTTATAGAAGGCTCTCCGCACATGTAGAGAAAAAAAGGTACATGTTGACCTTCAAAAGAGGAAAATGGGCCTGGGGATTTAGCTCAGTGGTTCCGGTGCCTGCCTCACAAGCACAAGGTCCCGAGTTCAATCCCTGGTATCAAAAAAAACCAAAACCAAAAACAAAAGGGAAAAACGCTTTCTGGCCTCACCTAGCGCCCTGCAGACAGAGTAGCTCACACGCCTTGCTCTGGGGCACAACAGGAGGTCTGCTTTGCTTGGTTTAGTTCAGCGATGAAGAAGTTGGTGCAGCTGGATGGAAATAACTTTCTCATCCTAACTTCAAATTTTATCCCTGCAAAATTTCCCCTAAAGGATAATGAAAAAAGAAATTTGTACCTCGGTGGCCTGGTGTCACTGACTCCCCAGTTGCTTCAGCATGTTTTGGCAAGGTATGAAGCTGTCTCCTTTCCCCGCTTTCCTGGTTAAGTCGGATTTAAAATACGTGAGGGTATTCTTTCAATTCAAAGGTGCAGTTTTTGCTCAGAATTCCCTCAGAGTTCCTTATTCCACCTTCGAGCTCTCTGGCCCTGGAATTATTGTTGTGGGCCCGCTGGAGGCAGCCCGAGCCACCTCTCTGGGGATCCTTTCTGAGCTGGTTCCACGCCTCAAATGCCCCATGCTCCAAAGACGGTGCTCGGCTGCTCCCCAATTTTTTGTCAGTATTTACTAATCGTCCATTCTGTAATTATTCAGGTCAGACATTCTGCTAAGTTCTGAGGTAGCATAGTGAGAGAGAATAAAGAAGACGACCCTGCCCCGTGCACTCTTGTTCTGAGGGAGAGGCGTCAAGGCCATTATCACAGACACTGGCGCTTCGGCCTGTGGGAGTGGAGCACAGCCCCAAGGACGCGGCCCTGAGAAACGCGGAACTGAGCAGAACCCACAGGAAGGTACCGAGCTTGGCAGGGGTGGGTGTGGGGAGGGAGGGCATTCCCAGGAGCCCGTGCCAGTGTCTGAAAAGCAGCGGAACAGGAGAGCGAAGGGCACTGCTGAGCACTGGGAGTCTGGCAGCTGGGGCTGAGGAAGGGTGCAGGGCTTGCGAGGCCGAGGGCTTTCCCTGGTGTGAGCTCCGTGCACTGTCATTTTGCACCCGAGAAGGCCGCCCTAGTTGGTGACTCGGCCTGGGTGACGCAGGCGCCCCGACACGGTGGTCACCCAGTCTTCATGTCCACGGGAGCGGAGTCCAGCTAGGCGCCAGGAATAGGAAAATCTTCTCAATGAGCAGTGAAGATGGCTTCACCCCACCTCGCCTCTCCTGTACAACTAATCTCGGGCCATTTCCCTTCAGCCCAAATAACTTTTTCCGCAACTACTGAAGTGGAGGTCCGTTGGTGACAACTTTGTCCCACTTTTGTTTGTTTAAAAATGCCTTTCAGCCGGGTATGGTGGCAGGCCTGTAGTACTCTCAGCCCTCAGGAGGTGGAGGCAGGAGGATTGGTATGCCAGTTCAAGGCCAGTCTTGGGTACATAGAGATACCTGGTCTCAAAAAACAAAAAAAGACCTTTCACATCAGGCATGTGGCTCAGTGATAAAGCACTTTCTTGCCTAGCATGTACAAGGCCCTGGTTTTGAGCCCTAGTGCTTAAAAAAGGGGAGGGGATATTTTCCTTCAATTTTAGAGAATATTTTTTGTAATAAAAATCTTAAATTGCGAGGTATGGTGGCACACACCTGTAATCCCAGCACTTGGGAGGCTGAGGCAGGAGGATTGCTGTGAGTTCCAGGCCAGCCTGGGGTGCATAGTGAGTTCAAAGCCAATGTGAACTACATAGTGAGACCCTGTCTCAAAAAATCAAAATTAAAGTCTTAAGTTGATATTTTTTCTTTCAATACTTAAAAAAACTCCTTTTATTGTCTTCTGGATCATATTGTTTTTAGAGAAATGATAGTCATAATTCTTATTATTGTTTTTCCTCTGTAGGTAAAAGTCTTTTTTTAAAAAACTTTTCATGACTTTTTAGCTTTGACTGTTATGTAACTTCTTTGTGTTTAATTTGCTTAGTTTTTTTTTAGGATTTTTGGATCTGGTAATTGAAAAATTTAATCAAATTTGGAAAAAATATTTGACTATTACTCCTTCAAATATCCTGTGAACCCTTTCTGTACCTTCTTCGTATCTTTTGGGATTCCAATTATATAAATGTTGGACTTTTAAAAATTGTTGTGCTCTATGTGCTTTAGTTCACTTAGTTCCTATTCACTTATCTTCAATTTCTCTAGTAATTTCTTCGGCAGTGCCTAATCTGCTTTTAAGCCTATGTAATTTTCATTTCAAACATTGTATTTTTCTTCCTTTCATTTTTCTCTGTTTTTTGGTGCCAGGGCTTGAAGCAGGGTCTTCCCATGCTGAGTAAGTGTTCTTCCACTGAGCTACAGCCCCAGCCCAACACTGTATTTTTCTAATTTCAGATTTCTGTTCTATAAATTCCCAGCTTTCAGTTTTTCCTTCTCTGCTGAGATGTCTCATTTGTTTATTCATTCTTTCTGTCTTTTCCTCTAAATTCCTGAACATGGTTTATGTCCTCTGTAAACATTTTTATATGCTAATTTCAACATCTATTATCTATGAGACTGTTCATATTGACCACTTTTCGCCCTTCCCAGTTTTGCATTTTATTTTCCTGCCCCTTTGCCTGTCTAATAAGCTCTGAGTGTATGCTGGCCATCCCATCTACTCTGTTGCTGTGATTCTGAGTTGTGCTGATTCCTGCGAGAAGTTTGGAATATTTTCTGACAGTGGAGCAGCAGCTGAGCATTCTTGAGGTTTTGAGCTGAGCTTTACAAGGGTCAGTCTAGAGAACCACTGTTAGTCGGCTTACAGGAGCAAGACCACTGTAGGATTTCTCAATGGCGTTGTTGAATGTCAGCCTGGACGATTCTGTGCTCAGGGGAAGTATACTGTGGATGTTCACCAGCATTCCTAACCTCTCCCCGCTAGGTATGGGTGGCATCCTCATAGTTATGACAACCAAAAAATAACTCTGAGCATCACTAACTGGCTTCTAGGGGACAAAACTATGGGGCTATAGTAACACTGCACCACCTCAGCTACTGTGTTAGTAAACGTTCTGGGACTTCAGTGGGTTTGAAACCTCCATTCAGTTTACAACCCCCCCATCGAATGTTCTTGTTACATCAGCTCCACAGTTTCATTACATGCTAAAACAGCTACTACTTGACCAAAAACTGTAGACATAGACCTTTCTCTCTGAGAACCTCTGTCTTCCTCTACTTCCTATTCTGCAGATCCCATCATTTTAAGCGTCAGACAACTCAGTTTTTGGACGAGGTGTGGTGGTGCATGCCTGTAATTCCAGGGAGGCCAAAGCAGGAGGATTTCAAGTTTGAAATCCTGAAGCCTGGGCAACTTAGCAAATCAGTGAGGCCCTGACTAAAAAATAAAAATAAATAAAAGTCTGGGGATGTAACTCAGTGCAAAGGCCCAAGTTCAGTCTCCAGTCTGCAAGTGCTGCAAACAAACACACAACACAACCTTGTCCCCTAGCTTTCTGTTTGGGCTTAGTCCTCCTCCCTCAGTCTGCAGAAAGTCCTGCACGACCCTGTGCATTTCTCTGCTAAGGGTCACAGCCCTGTGCTGTCTGCTTTTCGATGCCTGGACACATCTCTTTATTTATTTTGTCTATTTTCTGTAATTGTTTGCTGTGGGGTGCAAGTCTGATGAGCTTACTTTGTCAAGGGCAAATGGCCTTCTCTTCACCTGGGGCCGTGTTTCTCTAGCCGATAGTTAATTATTTAATTAGACACAATAGGCACAGTTACTATCCTGTATGAAGAGATAAAGATGCTAGTAGGACAAAACAAAAACGAAATGAAAAACCCAATGAGTACACAAAACAAGACAAATAGGAAACATCAGATAACTGAAAAAAACACCCACAATGTTTATTGTTTGGAGCACTTTCAGTTCAGGGCTGTGGAATTTAAACCTCTGTGTTTGAGATTTCATTTGAGTGAAATGAAGTCCCAGCAACTGGGATGCATAGCATGCTGTGACAGTAACTTTATTCCTGGTGTACAATGTAGTTGAGATATCACTTCGAGATCTTGTGACCCAACCTTTTCCTTCAGTGAAGCCCAGAAGGTGAACATTCCTTGGCTCCCCTGCACGGGACTCTCCCAGGGGTCCCGAGTCAGGCTCCTTCTCCTCTGCTGCTCTTCCTAGTCCACTGTGCCAACCCCTGCAGGCTTCCTCTTCCCACTCACAAATGTACTCTGGCTATGAAAGGGCGGAGGGGCTTGGGCCTCCTGGGTTCATTTTCAGGTTGGTTACATAAACCTCCTGTGGCAGAGTTCATTTCTATAACAGAAAGGAGACTGGCTTGGAAGACGAGAGATACGGGCTCTACTCCTTGCAGTCACTAATGGGCAGAAAGCCCACGTAGTTCACCAAGGCACCTGTTTATTAAAAGCATTCCACCTTGTGCTTTTCCCTCCCCATTTTCAGGAAGGAAATACATTTTTAACCTGAAGTTAGGATAGAGTGGAAGGAAGAGCATCGTCGCACACCACGCTTAAAATCACGCTCGAGACTTCTGGGGTCATTTTTGTTTGTTTTGCTCCACATGGTCGCCTTTCTCAGAAATGTTTGATCATCTGTGATAGTAACTGGGGGAGCTCAGAAGGGCTCTCAGTGAGGTCAGAGCAAGAAGTAAAAGCACTGCCTTGAAATCAGGAAGAAAAGAGAGGAGAAATACTCTGCGTTTCTCAGCGTTCTGCTCCTGAGTTACCCCCCATGCTTCCAGCAGTCGGACCTCTCCAGTCCCCGTGCCACCAGCAGTTGGAAGCAGCCAGTTTTCCTTAGTGCACAGGCATAGATGTATTAGGCTGATAACATTTGCTCACTCTTTTCAGTGATGATTTATTTTAACTCTCCTCCTAATTTATATTTAATAAAAAAAGAATTTTGCACATTGCTTTATTGAAGCAAGATTCATCATCTTCAGAAAACACTGCAGTCTTCGAGATTAGTGCAAAAGTGGCAATAACTACCACTGGATTTAATTAAAAACAACAAATCATTTGGTCAGTGGTAGTGGATGCTCACGAAAGCCACTGGATACCGGGTGACTTAGGAGCCCAGTGTTTTAGTGTGAGACTTTGATCGGACACACTCACCCCCGACTCGGCTTCCTCTGTTCGACTTGGTGTCTTGTGCAAGGCCATGACTCTCCACATTGGGTAATCTGGCCAGGGGAGGAATGGAGTTGGGCTGTGCTTCCCTTTAACTACAGGGCCAGAAAAAAAGTAAACGGCAGGTTGCATTTTATGGAGGAAGGTCAGTAAGGCAGAGGGATTTTCTGGGGAGCCCACTGAGCGCTAATGGTCGGTGGTGCCCTGAGCTCTCGTCTGGCTCTCCTGTACGGGGCAAAGCGCCAGGAATGAGGTGCGGCTATTCACAGCACGACTGCCCCCCACTCCCCTCTTACTGGGACGCTTCCCAGAGCACAGGCTCTCATCAGCACTCTTCTCCCCCTTAGGGAGCAGCCTCAGCCTGATTAAGGGAAGAGTTAGGGGCAGGGAGAAGCCCATGGCCAGGAGGGAGCTCACTCATCCACATAAAATGGTCAGAAAATGGATATTTTCTTTTGAAATAAATGAGCTATTTTAAACTGTTTCAACTAATACGTATTGCCAAGTTATACAAATCCCCAAGGGGAAATTATATATTTAATGTCCACAGAAGTGTCTTGGACACTATATACCCATGTGTGTGTTTCATACACTAGTGCTTATTTTGCTTCAATCAGATCTCACAGGGAGGTTTG